GATGTTTGGGTCATAGAAGGTGGTCTAGGGGGGGTTTTCCCAGCCTGTGGGGTCCCAGCAGGTCCTGGAGGAGCCCCCCTGGGTGGGGGGGGTCTCTGCCATCCCAGCCCTGGTGAGCAGGGGGTGTTGCCCCAGGGGGAGGGGGGTGAGCTAAGCTAAAAGCAGGGGGGGGAGGGACAGGGGGACATGGAGGGATGGAGGGAGGGAGGGATGGATGGATGGAAGGAAGGATGGAGGGAGGGAGGGATGGAAGGATGGAAGGAAGGATGGATGGAGGGAAGGAAGGAAGGAAGGATGATGAATGGAGGAATGGATGGAGGGATGGATGGAGGGATGAATGGATGGATGGAGGGAGGGATAAATGGATGGATGGAGGGATGGAAGGAAGGATGATGGATGGAGGGATGGATGGATGGAGGGATGAATGGATGGATGGAGGGAGGGATAAATGGATGGATGGAGGGATGGAAGGAAGGATGATGGATGGAGGGATGGATGGGATGGATGGATGGATGGATGGATGGATGGATGGATGGATGGATGGATGGAAGGATGGATGGAGGGATGGATGGAAGGATGGATGGAGGGATGGATGGAGGGATAAATGGAGGGATGGAAGGATGAAAAGATGGATGGATGGACAGATGGAGGCAGCCCCAGCCCCGGGAGCAGATGAGGCAGCAGAGGTGGGTTCCCAGCAGTTCACTTACCCAGCAGCTCTACAGGAAGGATGTGGAGGGGAGGGAAGAGAGAGAGACAGAGAGAAAATGTGTGACCAGAGGCCGGGACACCCGCCCCTGCCTCCCCCTGCCCCCTGGGCCACACTGACACCTGCTTTGCTGTGGGGGGGGACCCCTTGGGTGCCCACCATCCCCATGGGTGCCAGGATCTTCCCCCCAAATGGGGACCCCCCCCTCACCTTTCCGAGCCTTTTTCTGCAGCTTGAGGGTGTCGGAGGATTTTTTCTTGATCTCGTGGCGCGCTCGTTTGTACTCTGGGGGGGGGACACACAGAGGTCAGGGGGGGAGGACCCCCAAATGACAGCCCACCCCCCCGCCAGGACCCCTGGTACCTTTTGCATGGTCCTTATCCAACTGGTTGGCAGTTTTCTTCCAGTCCTCAATCCTGTCCTGCAAAGGGTTGATCAGACTCTCCATGAGGGCGCTGGAGGAGGGAGAAGATGGGGAGAGCTCCAGAGCTGGGATGGGGGGGTGGTGGTGGTGGTGGGGGGTAATCCAGGCTTCACCCCACCCCAAAGAAGGACCAACACCCTCCAAGGGATGGTCTGAGGCCTGGCCAGGTGGTGTCAGGGGTTGTCTTACTTGGTGAACTGGCGGAGCTTGGCCTCGATGCTGCGGTGCCTCATGCACATGCGGGTCAGGGCTGAGCCAATGTCCCTGGTGGCACCTGGGGACAGGGGGGGGGGACACACACAAACACACCAACAACCACAAAACCACCACGTCAGGACACCCCCACCTACCCCAGGTACACCCCCACACCACTCCTGGACCAGTTTGTGTACTGGGAGCAGGCTGGTGGGGCAGTGCTGGGATGTTCTGTAGCTTTGGGGCCACTTTTTTGGGGTGAGGTGGGATGTGGATAAACCCAATCAATCAATTAACACCCATTAGCTAATGAATAAAGCACTGAATGGCTGAAAAACCCCACTCCCATATTTTTTTTGGCCTCAAAATTGGCACTGGGGGGGTGGAAAAGGGAAAGGAGGGGACAAGTGTCACCTCCAGGCAGTGCCCTGGGGGCAGGGAAATGTCCCTGGGGGGGGGGAAAGGGAAGAA